TCCTGCTGCCCCAAACCTGGGTAGCATGTGGCAACGCCCTGGGTAATTACCACTGCTCCGAGCTAATTAGTCCAGCAATGCTCCTAGGCTAAAAGCTGCTTGGGGAGTAGCATCTCCGCTTGCCACCGGCGGCCCAGCGATGACCGCTGGTTTGCACGACGGTTTCTACCCGTGTGTTGGCTCGGGACGAGGCCTTGCTATGGGGTCCGATATGACCCCCTCTCTGGAGGGTGCCTGGGTGGGGATGGGGTAATGCGCATGGAGGGGGAAGGAAGACTTGGCCTTTTTGGAGGAGCTTCTAGGAGCAGGTGGATGCCACTGGCTGAAGGTGCCTGGGGAAGCTCTGCAAGCCCGATGGCCAGAGAGGTGAGACCCCGCGTCGTGCTGCTCCTGGGGCCGGGGTGCAGCGCTCCACCCTGGACTGGGGACGTTTTTAGGCGGGGGGAACTTGGCTTTGCATCTGTTTGGTTGCTGCTTTGTAGCGGAGAAGTGATGGCAGCCACGTGCTGGGCCACGGGGGCGCTCCTAAGTCCCGTGGTGGTCGCAGAGGGGCCGTGGGTGCCCGCCGAGGCTCTGCAGGCTGGAAGGTGCATGTTGGGCTGGGCGTGGGGGGCCTGCAGCAGCCCCGCAGGGAGATGGGGCCGGGTCTTGTACACATTGGGGAATTCATGAGTGGAGGAAAAAAATCCCAGGTGGGGAAAACCAGCATGGGGAAAAATTAACGGGGCAGGGAAAATCACGCGTGGGAGAAATCACGCGTGCGGTGGGTGTGCTGCGGGTCGCGCGTGGGGCTGGGACAGCGCGCAGCCGTGCAGCCTCCCCTCCAGTAGGGGGCGCTCTGAGCAGGCAGAGCCGCGGCCCCTTTAAGAGCCGCAGCCCGCGGCCTATCGATCACGGGCACGCGCGTGCGCTCATTGGCTGAGCCGCGGCAGGGCTGCCGCCCCTGCCTCCACACGGGGTCTCCCTCCGAAGGCCCACGGGCTGATCGCTACGGCTCAACCGCACTCGGCAACCCGTCCTGGCTGACCCTTGCGCCTTCATGGCGATGGGAGCGTCGCCCTATTGGCCG